AACAGGGGGCTTAAAATGCGATTAAGAAGTAAAAGAGATTAAATAAAAGGTAATTTCAAGTGAAAATAAAAGAGTGTAACGTTGGAAGTTGAATATGGTAAAAATAACCTCAAGCCTCGCTTTAACTCATTTTTCTTCAGATCATCGAACTAGATTTTCCCTTCGTGATTCACGTCAGTTACTTTGTCTACAAGGGCAATCCTCGTGACTCTATTTTGTATACCGAATACCCAAGGCAATCTCTGATTCTGACTTCGAAAACTGATCTAATCAACATCAATTATCGTAGATCAATTACTGTTTAAGTTTGTGGCGATCGACTCAGATTGTTGTTTCTATAACCGTCAATTCCGATCTCAATTCCCTCTTGGCGAAGCTATCTTGCCAAGTGTGTTCCCAGGAAGTTGAATGTGCTTTCTATAAGCCGATTTCCTCCACACATTTAATCGCAGCAACCTCTTAACCAAAGTCAACCTTTGATTTTGAAAAATAAGCGCAAAGATTGAGAGAGATATTTCAAAGTTATTAAGGGTCTGTTTCAATTCTCCCGTTGGAATTGAGTCATCGCTTCAGCTCTCGGTGTATGAAAAATTTAGCTAAGCATGAAAAAAGTCATACTTAGCATATTTAAAAACAAATATTGAAAATAAAAGTAAAAATGAAAACTTGAAAAATAAAATAAAAGATAAAGCTTTAATAAAACTAGAAAGAAGAAGAAGATTGTAATCTGAGTTGTGAGTTTAGGCTTACCCCAAGAGGGTATTTATAGCCTCACAAAGCCTAAGGATAAACAAAGAAATTAAAATAGAATAATCCTAAAGATAATTGTTTTTTTTCTAAATTCAAACCTTAAACAAGTCTCCTAATGCAACTCTGCTCGTCCATTTTCCAGAAGACGCGCTGAGTAGATCTTCTAGAAACTGTCGCTGACTGGACCTTCTAGAAACTGCCACATCATACTGCGTCATGCCCATGTCTCCAGCCGTGACTAAAAAAAATGTAGAATACGTCTGTTTTGCCACTAGTTCTAGAAAGTAAGGACCTGCACGAAAATAATCATAACACAACCAAATCATCAACAATAAATCCACAAGATTAAATAAATAACAAGTAAATATTAACTATTCTGAACACCCATCAAATTCCCCCTCACTTAGGTCATGCTTGTCCTAAAGTAAGATATAATCAAATTTTCAAAAATTTCATTTACCGTTCTTTGTCAAGTTTCACATTCAAGGAAGCAAGGTAGAGACCACAAGAATTATTCAAGTCAAGACATCAATCAATTGAATATCACCAATTGGAACAAGTTAAATGAAATTGTAACGTCCATTCATTCATTATTCTTAATGCTCATAGCTCAACACCTTACCGGGATTCACTCAAATCACTCAATGTGTTTTGGGTACAGAAACGCTCAATGTCAGAACCGACACGATATTACCATAGGCTTGAAAATCTCCACTAATAATGAGAACAAGATGCATAAATCAAAGTGTCTTTTATTGGTTGTAAAGGGGCTTAGGTAAAGGTGGGGAAAATGCTAAACATATGGCTAAAAATTCAAGGGAAGGGCACAACAAGATAAAAAGACAAACTATCAAACAACAAATTTCTTTTCGAAATGCATATGATTTTTTTCTTTTTCACATTTTTGTTGTTTTGTTTTCCATTTTTTTCATGTCTTTTTTCTCTTTTTTTTCGAACAACATCTTTTTTCTTTTCGAACTGCTGTTTTTTTTCTATGGAGCATGCATCGACTAAAGTGTTCATTTGCCCTGAAAAGGGTAGAAAATAGGGATAAAATAAAAAGGCTCAGGTTTATAAATGTGGTGAAAACAAAGAAATAAGAATAAGCTCAAAAGTGGTTAACTAGGGGAAAATGCATAGGTAGGCAATTTAGTGGGAAAAACAGAATGGTTAATCCTAAAGTGCCCAAATCATTTTTAAGCATCATGTTCATGTGTAATCTCGACAGTATTTAAAATACAGGTTCTAGAACACCAATGTCAAATTCGACACACTCAATCAAACAAAATGAGAGCAAAATGATATGCTCGTAAAGACTCAAATCTCACTAAATTGTTTCATGCATTGACCTAAGCACATTTCAACCAAAAAATCATGGAACATCAAAAAAATACCAACTTGATCACAATTTATGCTATTCGCTATCAAGAACATCCTAACCTAAACAATCATGTGTTCTAAAGAAGCATAGCATTCCAAAAATTTTAGCCAACACAAAGAAATTCAATGAAATTTTCGCAAATCCAACCAACACATACTAGTATCAAAACATAAAAATAAGCAAAAGGTAATTCAACCTACACTCTACTCCCCCTCACTTAAAGCGTTTTGCCTCAAAACGTAAAATTAAAATGCAAGAGAAGGAATAGAGTACTCACTGGATTTAATGTCGACCACGGCCACGACCTTGGCCGCGGTGGGAGGTGCTGGGACGTAGATAGGAAAGAATCTGAGTAATGTCGTCTCAATGGAATGAAGGCGCACTACAAGAAAATATACCTTTAATGACACACGAACGATGACACACGCTAATTTATGACTTGCAAAACATGTGTGTCATAAAAAAATGTCATGTTTTTTAAAATATGAACGATTTATGACTTACAATAATGTATGTCATATTTAATAGTCATAATCCAAAAAATTTGCAAAAACATGGAGTACACTTTTTAATTGTGTGTCATCTGTAAAAGTCGTCTTTTAATTTCCCCCCATTATTTTCATCCTTTCCCGCTTCTTCCCCTCATAATCAGTTCACGGCTAATGTTTTGCACTCCTTTCATTCTCTCATTTTCTCTCCAACGCCAAAACCCTAACTTGCTTTCTTTATTTTCCTGAAAGCTTCTCTCTCCATGTTTTTTGTTTTGTTTTCAGTAACATTCTTCAAATTATTTTCATTTCCTTTTTCTTTCCCCCACCCTGATTTGTGGTTGAGGGTTCAAGTTTTTAAGATGGATATCAAGCAAAAGCAAGTCGAGTTCATCGATCACTTCGTTAAGCAAGTGTCGGCTCAGAAGGGGACGACCCTTGTTTCCGTTATCGTCGAAGCGACGTCTCATCTTTCACTCTTCGCCTTCTCCGAGATTCTTGCCCTGCCCACCATCGCTGAGGTAAAGACCTATTCCGTTATCAGTTTCTTTTATTTTCTTTCCCCTACTTTCCTTAATCTGAGAAATAAAAGCCGCCATCAGTTATTTTTTGTTGCACATAGATTAATAACATTTCTTCATGTATCTTTTTCTGTCAATATAGTCTGGTGTTTTAGTTTTATTCATTGCTTCACTTTCGGTTTGATGCTTTAGTTTACTTGTAATTTATAAGAAACCTATATACATTTACAGCTTGTCGGAACTGAAAACTCGATGTACCTGGAGGTGCTTCGGTTGTTTGCCCATGGCACATGGAGAGATTACAAGAGTAAGCTGGAAAACCTGTATTTTATTGTTTGTGACAAGTTTATGATGTTTTCAATACACTTGTTTAACTTGTACCCCTATTTTTTCTATTCGAGATAATTTGAAGATCATTAGTAGTAAACATTTGTCACTACCGTGTAAATCTCTTCAAGATTACCAATTTTACTCTTCTAAATTTTACCTTTCACTTAATTAATCCACTTGATTATTTCTGTCTTTGATTGTTGTTATAGTTATTATTCACATCATAATGTGACCAACTCTGGCTGCTTAAACTATTTGGTTAGGCAATAGTGGCAGCCTTCCTCAACTGGTCCCTGATCAAGTTCTCAAGTTAAAGCAACTCACTGTCCTTACACTTGCTGAGACGAACAAGGTATTGGAGTTGAGTTAAGAGGGCATTTGATCATCTAAATATGCTATAGTTGTCAGCCTTGTTCTATTGTAGTGGTTATAGTTATTTTTATATTCATTGAACGTGCCACTTTGACTTCGTAACGTGAAGAAACCAAGTCTTTAGAATATCTTGAAAAATTTTAATGCCTTTCTGAATTGTTTTATTCCACTTTCTAACTGAAATGGATATACCCTTTGTCTGACAATGGCACTATAGGTTGTAAATGTTGGTTACATCAAGTTCATTTACCATTTAAATATATTGACCAGGTATTACCATATGATCAACTAATGCTGGAGTTAGATGTCACCAATGTTAGTGAACTTGAAGATTTTCTTATCAATGAGTGCATGTATGCGGTGGGTAGACTCCCAGCTTAATTCTCTATTAATTTTTATCCTAGGATTTACTCCATTATGACATGCTTTAGCTACTGGAACGGCCTTGAAAAGCCCTGGGAACCAATGGATGTTTTTTATGTAATATGTTGCATGTGAAAGAACTTTGTAGTTGTTTATGCATTCATTTTGTTTTTTTGGGACGATTAACTTTTAGAGTGGCCCTGCATTGTTCATAGTTATTTCTACAGCTATTTGAACTTTCTTTTGGTGTCAAACCCAATACCTTAGGTCTTACTCTGGCTCTGTTTTCACAAAGGTTTGAGAAAGAATGGGAAGGTAGGGCACTTTCCTTCCCATTGGATTTTTTATTGAATTTTAAGGGAAGTGAGTTCTACCAGAGGTGCAAATATACTAAAAGTGTGCTGATTTTTGTTCATTTTTCCTAACCTTTTTGTTAGGGTATAGTCAGAGGAAAGTTGGATCAGTTGTGAAGATGTTTTGAGGTATATTGCCATTTCCTCTCAAGAATTTTCCTTTAAATTTATTTTTCTTCGCTGATTAAAATCTTTAATATTTGTTCTGGAAGATCAAATTTGCTGCTGGGAGGTATTTGAGGCCAGGACAACTTGGGAGTATGATAGAAACATTGTCGAACTAGTAACATCTCTAGTTCAAATAGAGCATTTCATTAAGTCCTCTGTCCATACTGCATTTATAGTTGCTACTGTGTGATTTTCTATTAAATTTTTCGATTTGTTCATTAGAGCTATTTAGTCCAAGTAGACCTGACAGAATACAAAGTTGAATTTGATAAATTTGCAAGATCCTTTAATTAGAGCAGAGTGTAGAGCGATGTTTCAAGAAGGAGAAGTTGATGATAGGTTTTTAATGATTTTATTTCTTACTGTGGAACGTCTCCGAAAGAATTCTTCGTGGAAACCGTATATATTTAACATATTTGATTGTTTTCTTTTAGTTTTCTTTTATTTATTATTTATGTGGATTTAAAGACTGGTTCAGTTATCTTGATATGCTTCCCACCACTTTTGGGAATCCGTTATGGTTTACCGATGATGAGATGCTGGAATTGAGAGGAACAATCTTGTATAGAGCAACTGAATTGCGGGTAAATATAAGTATATAGTTTAACATTCTCTTGAAGATGAAATGCATGTAATTTGACTACCCATGATGATGAAAGTTATTGTAATTGTTTTATAGAAAAAGGATTTGATTTATGTGTACGAAGATAAAGTGAAGGGTTTGGTGAAGAAACTTATTTCTCTTGATGGAGTTTCAGAAAGGTCGGTATTAATTACATCGAATAAAGTAGGAATCAAGTGTGTTTATTTTCCTTTTTCCCAATTATGAATTGTTGTTAATGTTTCTTTTGCAGTGAGGTATGCTTTGAAGATTTCCTTTGGTATGGATCTCCTCAAAATGAACTCTTTCTTATTCTATCTCAAAATGGGGTGGGTGGGGACAATGAAGGAGACTGACTATGATATGATGACATTCCTTGCACTTCGAACTTTGGTGGTTAATACTGCGTGATTTTTGTAATAATAGGGCGAATTCTATATTTTGGTCTCGTGCTCTGAACCTTCCTCTTCCACATTCTTATGTATTTCCCCAAATTCAAGAAGATACAGAGACAACCTGTCCAATTGAAAGAAGTTCTGAGGTGACCATCAATCATAGTGGACTAAGTGGAGAGCCTGTTAATGAAATTGATGGAAAAAGTGAGGTTACACTTTAGTTCTTACCACTTTTGTGCCTGGATCTTTCCTTTTATTTGCTTTCACAGGTGAAAGTTTACTGTATTAACATGGAGCTGAGGTTAAATATTTTTATTTATTTTGGGTTTATATCAGGATTTGAGGGTCATGAGAATGATAAAAAGTCAATGGAACAATTTCCACATCGAAAAAAGAAGAAACTATATGGGTGGAGGGTCTTCTCTCTGGCATTGACTTTTGCAACCATGGTATGTTAGTTTTTATTAGTCAGTGGCTCTCTAGTCAATTGGTTAGAGTCTATTCTCATTGAATTTTTTGGTTGTTAATTTTATTTTTTAGACTTGAAGGCAGTGGCAACATGGGAAGTTCCTGTCCCAAAGGTAAGCATTAATGCATTATTATTTGTAATCAATAAGCTTAATTCTCAGTATTATTGGAAACGTTCTTTAATAAAATGTAAGTTCCACTGTCAATATGCCTTTTGTTTCTAATATTTTCTGTGTTGTTAATTAGTTCCCTTTGTTTGAGGCTATGCTGCTATGCTTTTAACTGGTCTATGAATTTCTTGTTTTTGCCTTTATGATATCCTTTTTGTATTCTATTTTTCATGCTTATAGCATCACAACCTATTTCAAAGTTAAATTACTATTAATAGTCTATTCCCGAGGACATTTAACTTATATGTGACTTCTGTGGTTACCAGCTGATCGGTATGTAATTTAGTAATCTAATTTGCTAAATCAGTGCGATTGAGTAATTCATGTTTCCATACTTTATGCATTATTGTCCGTCTTTCCCACCTTAGAGGGATTGTAATTGGAGTTATATGTGCCAAGGTGGGTATTTGAGTTGTACTATATTTCCCGTTTAGAAGTTGTGAATTAAGCATGCTGATAAACATAATTGAATTATTTTGATTCTTAGTTTGACATAATTGGACTGCTTAGCGTTGTACTATTCTTGTTCCTTATAACTTCATTTGCAATTTTCTTTTGCAGATATACAATGAGCAAATAACAGATTTATTGGATCCAAATCAAAGAAACCTGCAGGTAGAATGAATTACTATTTAACTTTTCAGTTTCCAAATCAATACTGTTTTGTAACTTTTCTATATATTGGTAATTGCTGATAAAACTTAGATGGTGTTTTATTGGTTTTATGGCTTAATTGGGTAAATCTAGAGAAATATTGTGGATTTTGTGCTATAATCCTTCTGATACACCCAGAAAAAAGCTGAATTTTGGCTTTTTGCTGGACTGTACATGGATGCTTAAGTTGTTTCGATCTAACCTAGATATCAAGATATGTTCGTTATTTGTTAGAGATGGGATTTATCTAAAGTCACTTAGACCAGGAAAGTTTAGTTCAATGCCCTCCTTTGTTTGATTGATTAAGGATGTTCAGAGTTCAGACCCACTATGTTACTCTTATAATCATTGGAATCTATAACTAATTTTGGTAAATGGATATCAATCACCTTTTCCTCTGAGCGAAATAGAATTCAATAGCAAGTTTGAATGAAAATCATCATTATAACCGAGAAGGATGGGTGAATTACCCATATGTAAATAGACTTATCCCCTTAAATAACAGTGTTACTGTGAGAAATGAAAAGTAAAGCTTTTAAAGCTTAAGATACCTTTACCACAAATTTACTTGATTTTTCGTTCTTTTCATATTACTTAGTGATGAGTGATGACTTGATAACCATAAATGAAAATGTTTGCTCTTTACAAATGTTTGGACTACTTTATGTTCTCACCTGAAGATAGTTGATGCTTGATTAATATATGAAAAGTATTAATGCCTATATGTCATCAGCAGTTGGTTCAAAAAAGGAGTGGAAACCAAAGGTGATCAGCTCTAATTTTGGGAAGGGTTCGGGAACATCTGGTGCACCTGATATTCCTACTAGTTCAGTTGAAGCCAATGCTCATTCGCAGCCTGTTTCAAGAGTTCTCGACTATGAAGAAGCAACTTCAAAATTGCAGAAGAAGCTAGAGGAGTTGCATCTAATATCTTATAATCTGTTAGTATCTTCTTGTGATAATCTGAGAACATTCTTGGTTTTTTGTTTTCAAATAGCCATAGGTGATGAATATTATGTTTGTAACTTAATGTGAATATATTGTATGCAAATGGATTGCTTATATATAATATGATATATATATTTAGTATTATGAGGCATTAAATGTGATTTAGTTTGATTATTTGTCAATCTACAATATATATATATAACAATAATTTATGAAATACAATCATGACACACGAATGTGTGTCATTTTTTTAATGGCGTGTGCTTCAATGACACGCAATGTAAGTCATACATACGTGTCATAAATTTATGACGGGGGCTTCAATGACGCTCAATGAACGTCATAAATGCACGTCATCTTAAATTCATGTCGGTGGCTTCAACGACAGGAAAATGTGTGTCATACGCACCCATAGATGACGTGCAATGCACGTCATTAAAGGGGTTTTTTCTACTAGTGGTGGTTGTAGACTTTATCATCCATTTGAGTCTGCATATCCAGGCGAGGTACTGCAGGTGGCGGTTGTGGTGCATTTTGACGAAAGAAGACTTGTTTACGGCGAGGACTGAGGACACCCATTGGAACGAAGTATGGTGCGCTCGGGTTTCTAGCAAGTAGGCCCATCAAATCCAAGCATCACTCATCCAAAGCATGTATAGAAAAAGCATAAATAAACAGTGTAACGTCAAAATTAGCGATGCAAGAGACTAAATGAGTAATGTAAGAGCCAATGATAAGTGGGCGATTGGATCGAATAACGATCTCAAAGGCCCGAGCAAACCAAAATCCCAAGTTCACCCGCTGGCCGACTGATATGCACCATACGAATAATAGTTCAACTCGGCTCAAGGAGGAAGACGAGTCATTTCGCCCGAAATAATTGTCGTGGATAAGATGAGCTCGAGTCGAGCGAGCGTTAATCGTATGGCCAGATAAGCCAGTGAGAGTCTCATAGGCCACATCGGCATCGAAATCCTACGGAATCTCAAGTAAAGCAGCCAAATACGCATGATTCGTGACATCCATCACGAACCTCATAGCAAGATTAAACTCCAATATAGATATTGAAAAATAACTTCTACATAGTCGGAATGTAACGACATCGGGCGAATTAACATTAAGAAGACGATTTGACGAAAAATTAAAAGTGGTGTAAAAATCAAAAACAAGTTCATAAAACGTTCCACAGTTAATCGTCAGATATAAAGTCCAACAAATAGTAGCAAAATACGTATGGTCAGACTCGCGTAAATGTAAAGTTTCTAAAGTTTGAGTCAGAATATATTTACCTACACGGAAAGGACGATGTCTTACTGACTCAAAACGTACCAATTCGCCGTCCGAAAATTACAAGTACCCATGTAGAGTTTCTTCGGCAGGGACAGCGTACGACCGACCCCTTCAGTTGCGCTCAAAATTTTCGTGGGCAGGCGGTGGACAGTCAGAAGTAGGGGCATCACCTGGGCTAGGGGAATGGGTCAGTGAAGCATGACACCCAGGTTGCTACCGAGAGATCGACGTCGTAGGAGATGGATATGGGGGTGGAAAGTCAGTAGTATAGTCCTCTATAAAACCATAAATCAGATGGTGCAGTAGAAAAAGTTGAACTGAAACAGGACTAGAGTTTACCTTTGGAGCGTCGTCCGACGCTGCCGAATGCATCGAATACGACGGGAAGCCGTTGGTTATGGATGAGATGATGACGTTCCTACTGTCGGCATTGAGTGGAATGATGGAGATTGGGAGCGGTGAGAGGTGTTTGGCCCAGGGCGTAGGGAGGCGGTCGTTGTAAAATTTGAATGGTATGGTGATGTTGAAGCTTGGCGAAATCACTGGGCAACTCGACGAAAGCCGGCGCATTGGAGCGGCGACGTCCTCCAATAACGGTGGGCAGAGGAGCGTTGGCGTTTTTCGGTTGGTTTCTTGTATGAACCATCGTGGAGTAGAGAGAAGCAGATGGCATGAAAAAAACGTTAGCAAAAGTGGAGTAGGCCTGCGATGGTAAGAGGAGGAAGGAACAATGGTGTTTTTGGGGAAGGAAATAATTGTTTTGAAGAAGAGGAAGAGGTGTGGGGTTTTTTTACCTTGGTCGTACGTGAGGTGTTAGAATTGGATTCAAATTGGTTTTGTTTTTCTTTTTTTAATGAGGATAAAGGGAGTTTAAATGTAAAAAGGAGATAGGGATAGGAATGGTGGGGTCTACGGTCTAAAGGAAAGGAAAAAGAAGAGATGATTGGGGAGTGGGGCGGTAGAAAGATAACAAAAAAGGGGAGAATTTTTTTGGGTTTTGCTAATGTGTGCCGGTCTCTTCTAAGGGGAATGCTAACGTGCTCCGTTTAATGAAACGGTGCACACGACTGGGATAATTGTTTTCACTGCTTTGCGTGACTGTACATTGCTCTGTAGGTTCAGAAATTGGCACTGTTCGAATGAGAATTTCTTAAATCTTCATCGTTTAAGTTCGATTAAAAATATTCAGTTCCTGCAAAATAATAACAAAAATTAAATAAAACATGCTTAATCGAAATAAAAATAGAAATAAAAATAAAAATAAAAAATGTAACGGAATTGCCTCCCACAAAGCTCTTTTGTTTAACGTCGTTAGCTCGATGACCTGATTCAGACTACAGTTTCTTCTAAGTCGAGATCTTCAACTAAGCAAGCTTGGCTATTCATAAAATATAGTTAAATCCTGTGTCCATTGACTTTAAATCGAGTACCCGAACCATCTTTAAGTTCGACTGCGCCATGAGAAAAAAATTCAGTTACTGTGTAAGGTCCGCTCCACTTCGATTGAAGTTTACATGTAAAAAGTTTTAACTTTGAATTAAAAAGAAGAACTTTTTATCCGACAGAAAAATATTTAAAAACAATTTTCTGATCATAGAATTCTTTTGTTCTGTCCTTATATATTCTGGCGTTGTCGTAAGCATCTCTCTAGATTTCCTCAAGATCCTGTATATTTAACTTTCATGTTTTGTCAACCGCTTCTAACTCCATATTGCATTACTTTATAACCCAATATACCTTGTGTTCTAGCTCGACAGGTAAATGACATGGCTTACCGAATAGAAGGCGATATGGCGACATGTCGATAGGTCCTTTATATGCAATTCGATAAGCCCACAAATCATTAATCAATTTCAGGCTCTAATCCTTGCGATTTGGCTTGACTATTTTCTCAAGAATTGTCTTTACTTCACGGTTTGAAATTTATGTTTGTCCGTTCGTTTGCGGATGATAAATTGTGACAATCTTGTGATTTGCTCCACGCCTTTTCATAAGCGCATCAATTACCCAATTGATGAAGTATGTGCCGTGGTCGCTTATTATCGCTCTTGATGTACCAAACCTGGAAAAGATACAATTCTTTAGAAATTGAATAGTAGTTTTGGCATCGTTGTTTCGAGTGGCTTTAGCTTCTATCCACTTCGAAACATAGTTACCGTAAGAATTATATAACAATTGTCGAATGAAGAAACAAAAGGACCCATATAGTTAACTCCCCAA